CCTCCATAACCAATGGGGAAACATCCTTTATCATACCCAACAGACTTTTTGCAAAAGCCTTTGACTTGGCCTCAAACTGTTCTAACGTATAAATCTCCCCGCTTTGCCACACTTGCTTATGTAAACCCAGCTGTGGATTCTCTGCCCCCACTTTCAGTTTCTTCCCACTCTGTCCCAACTCTTGTTGCCTAGTGGTAAATACTGCCGTAGCTTCCCCATCAGTACCACTATCTACTGAACCTATTTTTGATGAAGAGCAAACCTTTGACATATCCACATCACTACCCAATTCTGGGCACTTTGTAAGTGACTTGTTCAAATTGCTAAAAACATACTTCTTGGATGGTTTAGGCAATGGTGGGATAATCTTGCATATACCAAAAGCACTAGCTTCCTTCTCAATTTTTGATATATAAGCAATTGGGTCTGAAAATTCTGTATCAGTTGGGCGAAATTCAGGTGCCAATGGCAATCCTTTAAGCCATTTGGGTATTTCAACATTACCCATTACAACAACAACAGCAGCATAACCAATCAACACATGACCAACATAACTCAATCACCTAACAGTGCCTGCTAAACTCACAAAAACGCCATAGGATGATAACACCTTCCTTTCAAACCCTAGAATCAAGATTCTTGTTGACTTGTTTCTTGTGTTTGACCCAGCAGAAAGTTGCAAACTTTGAGGAAGTAAAGTAAATGCAAGGGCAGTTCAAACATAGAGATGAAACAATAGAACCTGATAACTGCAGCCTTGGCGTGATAGCTTCTCACTAGCCCCCAGAGTTCAAAGGAGGGGGGGGAGGGGGGAAGAGGGGCATGGATTGGTAAAATCCTTAGGCAGCGCAATTTAGCAAATGATAAGCATAATCAGATAGCGTACGCGATTCTGACATGGCGCATCTTTGATCTTTTTTGGACCGTACGATTTTTAATATATAATTCCGCTCGCACCAGGGTAAAAGGGCGTCTATGATGTGCCACACCTTAGGACTACGAGAATCTGTCAACCGTTGATCATAAGTTAATGGGACCCATATTTTGATATACGGGGCAAATCAACCGTCAGAATTATAGTATATTTGGTTTAAAAAAAATACATGAAAATAAAAAAAAAAAAAAAGAAAGAAAAGGATAAGATTTTATTACTAATCAAATTAATTCTTTTACTAATCAAATTATAATATTACAAATCTTTCCGTACCTAACTTTAGAGGTCAAATAACATTAACTATTGATTAGGTATGTTATTCTTTCCCTTGTGCCAAGTTTTTGAATCTGTCTCATGTCAAAAATGTTTTTAAAAAAAATACAAATCCTTGGTTTCCTCACATTAAATATAATTTGAGAGAATTATATCCCTTATAGGATACATTTAAAACGTGTCTTAACTGATAAAAGCTAACTAAACACTAAAAGTTAAATATGATTAAAATTTAAAGAAAAGAAAGTTATTCAATCATTCATTAAATATGGGAAAAAAAATAAAAATATAGAAAAATATTAATTCTGGTTATAAGAGAATTACAAATGAGCATTTTTCTGGTGTTTTCAGAATCTACATCCCACTTGGAACACCAAAGAAAGGGGTTAATATTGCAATTGAGACAAGAAGATGAGAAAGGGAAATAAAAATCCAAAATCAGGTCTTGATTGGATTTGATCCAGAATTTGGTCATAGACTCATAGTTAGTGTCTGAGTGAATTAGTCCAATCCCACACTGCTCTTCTTTTTTCCATGCTGCTTTCTGCTACATGATTGCAGTAACTTGTGCAAACCAGCTCACAAGTATCCATGGTGGCACCATCCACTTTCAGACATACTGGCATACATTTTCTGGTACACTTGGATAGTGGCTCGCCAGAGTTGGAATAAGCCATCACAACCAATGCAAAGATCGCCAACATGATGAATCCTTCCTTGGTGGCCATAATCTCTTTCTATTTGCTTAATTTGATTTGTAGATTTTCTTTTAAGGTTTTTGAGTTGAAAGGGTTGATCAAAGAGGATCCCCTTTATAAGGGACAGAACCCGCATGTTTTTGGGAATGTTTAAGACTTCAAGTGGTCTTGAGCAAAATATGGAGAAAGATTAGCTTTAGATGCGAGTTGAATGTTTCCAATTTCCTAAATAAAACCTCCCCTAATTTTCTGTAAAGGTCCTTCCATTACATGTTGACTATGCTTCAAATCATCCCCAGTCATGTGTCTTTCTTCGCAAGTTATCTTATTGTAATGGATGGTCTGACTTTTCTAAAGGGTTTTCATATTTTAACTTTTAAGATCGTGATTGGTTTAGCTATTAAGATTAATTGATAGTTTTTTACTTCCAACAATTATCCTATAGATGTTTGGTACAAGTTATTAATTAGGGACCAATTCATAGTTATTAGTTCTCAACAAACAAATCAAATACAGCCGCAAAATTTACATGGCTTCTTAAAATTTTTGTAAACTGTCTTTAAAGTAAACAAGTCAAGTAGATGAAAATGTCTACAAATTATGCTACAACCAGAATTGGCTCCTTTGATATGAAGAACAAAGAAGGGACCAATGAGATAAAACTAGAAGAAACACAAACCATATGCTATGAAGTGGACATTGTTGCTATGGAAACTAGAATGAAGGGCTCAAATCTTCTCCCCTTTTTTCCTTTTGTTTTTTCTGCCTCTTATCCTCTTTTCGCATTATTTATATGTAGAAAGATGCTCAAAATATCAGCATATATGTCCAAAATTGGGAATAAGATAATGTCATAATGCAAATAGACGTCATCATGCCAAGATTTTGAGCATCATGTGAAAGAGACCTACTAACCTCCAACCACGCCAACTCCCTACACACCCTCTTACAGAGTGGATAGTGCGAGTATATGATTGAAGATAAATCCCATGCCTGCAAATCCATTGGCTGCTCAGTCAAATTCTGTGTCCTACTTGAATCTGGGTGCTTCATAGCCAAATCAACCAAAGAAACTAATAACATTTTTATCACTTGGGCAAAATTTTCTTTCTGCAATGGTATATATATATATATATATATATATATATATATATTTTATGCTTCTGCAATGGTAAACTAAATCAGAATAAAATATGTGGAAACAAGAAATCTCTAGTTTGTAGTATGGTATACATATCTAACAAAATGTACTTATCCTCCATCCTCAAGAATTAATAATCTAAACCCTTTAACTCAAAAGGGCAGCTAGTGAAAGAAGAAATGTGATTTATAATGACAGAGCCATATATATAAACCCCCTAGCACTTTCATGGTTCATACTATATAATCATATATCCATGGAGGGTGAAGGAAGGTGGGATTCTGACATAAAGTTTCTGTAAGTTCAAAAATGCTGCTACAAGTTTGCAGAAGTACAGACTATTGGATCACATTGCAGATTGGAGTTTGTTGTGTTTCATGCGCAAGGACAATGAGCTAATTCCAAAGGATGTGCCTAGAGGTCATGTGGCAGTGTATGTTGGGAAAGAGTTGAAGAGATTTGTGATCAAGATAATTTTGTTCAACCATCCTCTTTTTCAGGCATTGCTAGATTGTGCAGAGGAAGCGTTTGCGTTTGCCACAGGCCCAAGACTATGCATCCCCTGCAATGAGACGGTGTTCCTTCCCAATCTTGAGCACGTTACTTCTAAACAATATCAATGGTGGTCACTTTGTTTCTAAGGATTTCATGTTCAACTTTGGAAGTGCAAAGAAAAGAAGAAATGCTGGCATTATGATTCTATTCTTTATTAGTTGTCATTTACAATCACATATGGAGGTGGCCACTTTCAACTTTGTTATCATTTTTGTTTCTTTATTCATGTATCTTTATTTTCAATAAATTAAAAATTTTAATTTCTTTTGTTGAAAATATCAAATTTGAATTATATTTTCGTAGAGAAAGATAAAGAAAAAATAGAATTATCTTTTATTTTATATTTCATCATGGATAAAAAAATTGAGAGAAAGAAGACAAGTACCAAAGGAATATTGAATTTTCCATTTTTGGAAAGAAATTGTGGAAGTGGAACCATGCATATGGGCTCTATCGAAAAACAAAGGCATATGGGCTTAGATTAATAAACAGTCCCAAACGTTTATGTACCCAAAAAAAAAAAAAAAACAAACAAACAGTCCTAAACGTTTGTGAAATATGGGACTGTAAAGATCCAGCTCAATATCCGAATGATCCAGCCCAAGTTGAGCAACCCTAGTTCGCTCCCAATTGGGTCAATACAAATATTGGACTTCGACCCCAACGGTCCAAAATTTCTCCCATTTTCCCGAAGCCCACTAGGAGACCGAAAATCCTCCGTTTCTGCCTCCGACGACCGACCTTTCCTCCCATAGTCCGATACCTTTACTCTCAACATTCTTTCTCGACCTTCGTGATTCGCATTCGAATTCTATCTTTTCATTTCGTTTGGATATCTTCGGTCTACTGGTCCTCTCTATACAATGTAACTTGAGAACTTTGCCGTCCAAAGGATGTTTGTACATAGTGAAAGTGCACGTACGTGCTGTTCTATGCTATCACACATGTTGAAGGAGTAGACTTTATGGAGTTTGGTTGTAGAAATGCAATGGACCAATCTACTGGTTTAGCAATATGTTAGTCTTAGTTCGAAGGGTTCATTTCCTTCAATTCCTACTGATCTGGGGATGTCTACTTGTTATGTTGCCACAATGTTGAGGTGCTGATTATCGAGATGGCAGGGATTGCAGTATTTTCCTTGGCAAAGTCTACCTTTAACTACATAACAGGTGTATTCTTCTAATTTCATTTGAAACTTGAGATCTTTTTGGTATATCACCTTGATCTTTGGGTTTTACTGCATTTCATTTTTGTTTTACCTTTTCATTTCAAGCAGTTCTTTTTCTTATATTTTTATTATTTCAAGAAAATGAAAACTAGTGGAAAATTATTTTTATTTTTATTTTTTTAATCTTAAATTAACTCTATCTCATTCTTTAATTAATTTTATCTATATATCATACGAGTTAAATTTAAAAAATTTTATTTTTAATGAAAAAAATTACTATTAAAATGTTTAGGCTATTGATATTATTTTTGTTTTCTTTGTAGAAAAATTGACAAGTGACTTCTTGCGAGTCTTTCAAAACTAGAAAGGATGTTTTCAGGCAACAATTTTCTATATTTGAGGTTTTGTTTATATATTATTTGTATTTGGTTTTTCATTATATATTTTCAGATTTCAGAATATTTTGATGAATAATAATTTTCTACCTCCATTTGTTAATTAAAATAATTTGGAATACTATAATTAATCAAACAATAGTAAATACTATTTCAAAATAAATTATATTTTATTATTAAAGATCATTCAGTAATTGTTTTAAAATGATTATAAATGAGTTAGTAATATTAATACATGGATTATTTTCATGTAAATACTTTAGGCAGATTATGATAATCTTTTTTAATTGTTTTAAATCCTAAGATTAAAAAAAAAGGAACTGTTTTATACCCTTTTCGGAATTTAATTCAATTAAGTTTTCATAACATTTATTATAATTTTTCTC